AAATCACAAAATATAAAGACCTGCAAATAGAAATAGAACAACTGTGGCAAAAGAAAGCAAAGATAATACCAATACTAATAGGTGCCTTGGGTGCAATTCTGAAACATCTGGAGCACCACTTGAACACCAGTGGCATTGACAAAATCACCATCAGTCAATTGCAAAAGGCAGCCTTACTTAGAACAGCTTACATCCTGCGACAGTTCCTTTAATATTATTAAACAATAACATCTGCCTAACCCATGTCCTTGGGAAAGACTCAATAGGTGGACAAAAATGCCAAATACAGTCTAAACATCTGGCTGACTGTGCAGCTAAGCATAATAATAATAATGTGGTTGTACTGCTAAACTCATAGAGCTGTTTGGCAGGACTGAAGCTGTGTTTTGCCAATTCAAATTTCCTCTAACCTGTCTGCTGCCTTAATTTTTTCAGAACCATGCTTGCCAACGCTGCCATAATGAGGATCCTCATCAAAGGGGGGAAAGTGGTGAATGACGACTGCACCCTTGAAGCTGATGTTTATATTGAGAATGGCATCATACAGCAGGTGGGCCGTGAACTCATGATCCCTGGCGGGGCCAAAGTCATAGATGCCACTGGCAAGCTGGTGATCCCTGGTGGTATTGATACCAGTACCCACTTCCACCAAACCTTCATGAATGCAACCTGTGTGGATGATTATTACCATGGCACCAAGGTACCTTTCTCTTTTGCGCATGCTGCTGCAGTGGGCAGGTGGGGAAGCAGGCCCTCAGAGGATTGATTGCCTTATCCAGGGCCATGATGAGGTATTCAGTAGTGGAAGTTGTAGTGTGTGAGAAAGATGATGGTGGGAAGACTTGAGTTCCCTAACATGGATCGTTTCTGAGGAAAATTATTTATTCATGAGTAGACAATATTCTTGGGCACTAATGAACCCCACAAAGCTTCACTGACTTCTGCTGACTTCTCCCTCCCCATCCACTTAACGTTGTATCTTTTTCTCTGATTATTTTAATTTAAAAAAGGGGAAAGCCCACATATTTATATAGAAATATGCCTCTGGGCCTTACATAGGCCCTATAGACATTTTTAGAAAACACAAATGATGGGTTGGTTGCAGTCCAGCGCTTTTTTTGGGAAATATACTCCAAGAAACAAAGGCAGGCCTGGTACTATTGAAACATGCAGGCCTATATATTTATTTATATTTACTTATATGCCACTCAAAGAAAAAATTACTTTGAGCTGCTTATACTCCTGATTAAAGTAATAGAATTATAACTGAATTAAATCAAAGTTATATTAAACCTTCAATGGTATAGCAATAAAATCATAATCTACCATCCAGCCATACTTGCCATAATATTAAAAATTGCCTTGTGCTATTTCTTCAAGAGCAACTCAGTTATTCATCTATCTCCAAAGGACTTCGAGAAGAATAGAACTTGACTTGGAACATTAGAAGGATGAGAACATCCTTATCTCCAGGGTTCACTGTCTTCCAAAGTTCTGGTGGGGAGAACACCCCTTGAACTGAAGGTTCACCAATGTCTCTTCTTTAATTGATAATCCAGTTTTTCAGATGATACATTTGGAAATCTGTACACCTGTGATTGTTCCAATTCTACAAACACTTCTGAATGTAGCAAATAATGCTTGGTGAACATCTTTATCAATGCCTCCAGTGATCAAAAGTTTGGAAAACTATCTGGAGTTCAGGAATATGATTGGTATTCCTTTTTTCAACATCTGCTACTGAACTTCATTGTCATGGAGGCAATACATATACCATTTTCATTGATCATCACACGCTCAGTCTCATATTACATCTGTTGCCAGAGAGAGTAATAAATTAGATGCTATGGAATGCAAGAATCATTCCACTGCAGCTGTCCAACCTTTAAGCCTGGATGATACAATATCAGCATCTCTTTTGAGACAACAAAGCTGAATTTTAATTTAGTCTCCTCCAGAGTAAACTGGAAATAGTGTCTTCCTTTCAAAACCATATTCAGCTTCAAAGTAGCAAATTACTGTTGCTAAGGGTTAGCTGCTTAAGGCGTAACCTCATGACTGGAGCTATCACCAGTAGGCAATAGGCTGCCCAGAGTCAATTGGCAATTGAAGAAAATAAAATAAAAAAAAATGTTGTGCTGGGCAGGTCTTTTGCAAAAGGCTCATTATCACATGGAACACTTTTCTTTGATAGAGACTGAGTACAGTAATGGATGATACTCTCAAGATGATTAAAAAGTTTAAAAAAAAACACCCTGCAGAACAGAATGAGAGTGACTTAGTACCCACAGTACTCTACCTTCAGAATTGCCCATGGTCCTGTTGCTCTGCTATTGCTCAGTCATGAGATGTCTCTTCTGCTCAGTTTGAAAGACTGAATACTGAGCATCAAATTATGGTGAAATAGTTGACCTTAAGGGCATATATTTCCATATTATGATCGGATATTTCTATATTATTATAATAGGAAATACTTGATTTGCAAGAGCAGGACCTGCTTCCATTTCCTCCTTCTTGGTCTCCACCATGCCAAGAATACTCACAAAAATATATGGCAGGGACAGCAGCCCTCTTGTAACTCATAGGGGTTCAAATGTACTCATATACTGACAATTTGTTGTTGTTGCTGCCTCTTTCTTCTTATGGCTGTGCCAGTGTTCTAATTTAGAGATTCCATCTGCTCTACCACAGACAATATTACAGTTCTATGTAAATATGAAAGATGGGACTCAGTCCACTGCATTCCTGAATCTAATTATCTCAGCTTGGTGTATTATGAACACCATCTCCTGATGGCAATACACCTTACTGGTTTCAACAACAGCTTAGTTGGTTTCTTCAGGCAGACTTGTGAATGGATGTTTAATCTGGCTATGACCCATTCTCGGTTCCTACTATTGTTAACCTATGGTTAACCTCTTTGACTCCTCATGAAGCATGTAGTAACTTCAGTACTAGAGCAGAGTAGGTTGTGGATGAGACAGTCAGTGGGTATTACATTCCTATATTTCCAGAGAGACCTGCTCAGTACATTCCTAATGATCTGCCTCCTTGCATCTTAATCATTCTGTGACAGCTGAGACATCAGCTTGACCTCTTCCTGTTTAGGTCCAAGTGAAAGTTTTTTTATCTCTTTGTGAAGCTTTGTAAAGCTTCACTAGATCATGAATTCTGTTGCACTATTTTACCAGTTGGTGAAAGAACTCTGAAATGCCAGAAATTTATTGCATCTGTCAATCATTAAAATAATTGTACTGATGTTATTGCAAGAGCTGATGCATCTGTTCAGTGGGCAGTTTTACTCTGTGTATTCACCTGCCTGTCAACAGCCAAGCTTGTCAAGTCACCCATAGATGTGATTCATAGAGATCATGAAGGATGAGTTGCTTACCTGTAACAATGGTTCTTTGTGAATCTATACATTCACAAAACCTATCCTCTTGCTCTTACAGTTTCTTACTCTGGTAAGTATTCTTGTTCCCTAGAGCTGATGTAGCAGTTCAGGGTAGTAAGGGGAAAGTCAGGAACCATATCCAGAAGCATTTGCTGTGATGGTTGAGCTTCCCACCAAAAGTCAGCTGCAAAATGTTCTGATGGCAACTCCTGAGTTCAGGTGACCATTTGAAGAACCACAATAAAAGCAAAGCACCCTTCCATTCTTTGTCGGTTTTTTCTTGCAATTTCATGTATGGTTTCTGCCCGCACACAGAGTTCCATTTGAGCATCTTGTGCAGCTAGACTAGAGTTTATTCAATAGCCTCACCATTGTTATACAATATATGCAAGAGACATATCTGCTTCTGCCCATTGTAGTTCCCCCCTGACCTCTTTAGTGATAATCTCAAGCTACTTCACTGTGAGCTAAAAATATTATTTCTATTTTCTTAGTGTTTCTAAGTTATTTGTATTTTTGTTTATCAAAGCTCTTTTTTTTCTGCAATTTCTGTTGGCTTATCACAATTTCTGTTATCTTGATTTGAGCGGAAGTTGGCTAGTAGAATCTTGCAGATATCTTTTTAGACAGCCAGATGAAAAATCATCTTGTTCTTCAACTTGCTTGCAAGGTGGAGGTTGTTAAAGTCTGAAAGTCACCCTTCATCTTTCAATTCTATATACTTATATCCTTGTGGAGGAACAGGCTATTAGCTCCTTAACTCATCCAATCTTGCATCTTATGGGAAGGGTCAGACAGAAGTTGCATGGTATTCCACCATGATGGTTTGCACATATTAAAGCAGCAAATCAACAGAGTTTGTAACATACAGAGTATAGTTCTAAATTGAAAAAAGATAAGCAGTGCCTATGGAACCTCTCCTTGCATTCACAATGCCATGCTGATCTATCTGTTGTTTATCTATCATATTTATGATTTACCTATTGTTTTCAATTTAATGTAATGTTTAATGTTTTTCAGAGGTGATGGTGGGCTGTTTACCCCTCCTCAGTGAATAACTCTTGTTTCCTTATATAGTAAGAAGGGAGACATGAGAATGACAAATGAGCAACTAGAAAAGGACTGGGAATAGTCCAGGGAAGAGTCGGAAAAGATCCAAGGAGTAGTAGGAGAAAGGAGCATAACTTTCCTATTTTGTATGCTGGTGTATGAACTAAAAGTTCAGGCTGTAAAAGAGAACTCAGAGAATTGGATTTTGTTCTGGCATCATTTGCTACACTTACTTTTTATATTTTGGCTTCATTGGTTTGCTTTGTTAAAAATGTGTTTTTATTGGAGCAGAAAACTATATATTCAGAGGTATGGATTTGTGTTCTAGGACCTCCTTATGGCATATGTTCAGAGTGTGGGGCAAATTACTTCTCTTTGGATCCTGTTATTATGCTTTTCTGTGAGGGGGGATATATAGCAACAGGCCGTGGCTATCATGGCAGCCATTTTGGCAAAACTCAAAATGTATCCATCCACATCAAAATATTGTGATGCAAATGAAGTTTAATAGAATTTCTTATTATATTATTTATTTTCCAGAGGATTACCCCCTCACCTCCCTCTTTGCTTCTTGTGTAGACAGAACGAGGATAGCTTTGAAGTGAATACCTATATAATTCTTAGTCCTTGATGGCCCTAGCAGTCATGATTCACCAAAATTATCAGCTGCCTCTTTGTGTGCACCTGCTCTCTTGAAATCATACTAAGATTTTTTGTCTGGATTTCCACAACTACAGATGAATGTTTGGCCATCATAGATGTCCTCTGATAAATCCCCATCCCCATCCCAATCCTGAACAGTAAAGCCTGTTCTACTGTGGTATTTACAGTAGAATCGCAGACTGATGCAGTGGTCTGCTTACCATTTTTAAGGATGGGCAATAATCAACCTGATTTCAAAAGCATCTGGAAGTAATCCATTCAGACCTTTTGCAAGAGTGATCTCTCCCTTTCACAGTTGTTTGTTTTTGGTCAGAAGCTTAACCAAACACAAAACAGTACAGAACTTAATTGCTTCCCTTTCCCTCCCCCTTCCTCCCCAAATCAACAGTGTACTCTCTGAAGACAGACTACAGTGCCCTGCATATGTTCCTGGGCACAGCTAAATTTGGTGGATAACCTTAAAGTTCAGTAATTACGTATTCAGAAAAACCACAAAGAAGAATTATGTATTTATTTAGAAGAATCATTACATTCTTCAGCATTTCAGTGCTGAAATAAAATCTAGCACGTGTCTCTGTTGAAAATTGCTGCAT